TCCATCTATCTATCTATCTATTTTAGTTTGTTCATGTCTATGTAATTCAGTCTGTTCATATCTATCTATCTATCTATCTATCTATCTATCTATCTATCTATTCGAAGTGTTGTGTCCTTGCTTACATATTAAGAAATTTCTCTCAAGCATATATGAGGCTGAATAAAAAAATGTAAATTAACATTCTTCTCTTCCCACTTCTTCTTCTTCTTCTTCTTCTTCTTCTTCTTCTTCTTCTTCTTCTTCTTCTACACATCTTCCTCCTCCCTTTCTATTACATCCAACGTCGTGCATTTGTTTATTTATTTCTTAAAAAATAATATACAGTTCATAAGTTTAAAAAAAAAAACAAGGCGTTTTATCAAATGACTTTTAAAAGTCATTTGATAAAATTCGCCTGAAGATACCGTAAGGTTGAAACCAAGGCAGCGGATTCAACTGACCTCTTGGTTTTCAAAGTTATCTATCTACCATATATACTCGCGTATCAGTCGACTTTTGAAGACCTAATTTTGAAGCTAATTATTAAGGGGGTCGCACTATACACGAGATATAAAATTAGTGTACGTAATGGTAGCCCGGGATCCGCCATTGACCAAATTATATATCTATTTACTCTAGTAAAAAAGTACAGATGTATTTAAAATAAACATTGCAAGATATTTATCATTTCAGTCTATTCTTGTCTATGTATATCAGTCTGTTTATATATATATATATATATATATATATATATATATGATAATATAATTACAACATATCGCATATATATATATATATATATATATATATAACAACCCTATCCCTAATTACATTTTCAAGATGGACCTTTCCATAATCCTACAAACCACCTGTCACCTTATATCAATCAAAAACTATACCTCAAAAATTTTATTATAATAAAAAATAAAATAAAATCTAATTCGTCTTTTTCAGATATGATCTGATGAACCTGGGAAAATATATTTTCTGGGGAAATAAAGTATAGTCATGGAAACTTAAGGTTATCTATTTCTTAATTATTTAATTTATTTATATACATATATATATATATATATATATATATATATATATATATATATATATATATCACAGTCTGCACACATATCTGTCTATCTATCATTTCAGTTTTACCATGTCTGTATTTCAGTCTGTTCATATCTATCTATCTATCTATCTATCTATCTGTCTAACACTATAGATATTGTACGCGTATAATAGGCACTTAAAGAAAAAAATATTACTCTGATATAATAAGCACCGACTTTTTAGAATTTTTATTATGTGCGTTTAGCTGAAATTTATTCTAATTCCGGTTAGTATCGACCGCAAATACAGATTGAAGCGTGTGGCTTAGTTGAAGACACTGGGACAAGAAATTCGTAATCAAAATGCTATCAGAGCGTACAATAGAACTTCAAATAAATAGATAACGCAGTCGTATTTGATAAGGTAAGACACATTTATTTGAAATGTTAGGAAGGCTTGATTTATATGAGAAAGATATTACTGGGAGAGAGAACGAACTTCAGGGACTACACAAATAGAGAAAGTAGAGGAAGACAACGTTGCGTTAAGAAAGAAAGAAAAGTGTGATGGATTTCTATGTGTTAGCCATCCTTTTACATGGCAGTTAGTGTTGGAAAATGTCCCCACAAATGAAGGGAAGACTCGTGGCAACAGAAATGTGGTTCTACAGAATAATAAGATTCTGAAAAGTCCGTAGACGGGGCGAGGAAGCAACGAAGAAGTCTTAAAGAAAATGCAACCCTGATCTGGCATCTCGTTTACAGTCGTTCTGTCGCAGACGTGCCGTGGCTTCCCTCTGTCTTTTCTACAGATATTTTCCAGGTAACTGTTCCGACGAGCTACTTTCACTGGTTCCCAAACTGCATGAATTTAAACGTGCTACTAGGTTGGCATCTCAGTCCCACCTTTTCACTGTCAAAACTGTTAAATGTAGCCGTCTCTTCTACTCCAATAGCTTCATGTCTTGCACTTCCCGTCTGTGGAACTCCCTTCCTCTTTCTTGCTTCCATGATAGTTATAATCTCTAAATATTCCAATGCAATGTTAATCGACATCTCCAGATGCCCTGATCTGTTCTTCGTCCCTTTCTTCATCTTTTTCTCTATCACACCTATTTACTCTTGCACCAACTCTCTGTAACTCCTTGCGTGCTAGTGGCACTCCCGTCTTGCTTTGGGTGAAATGCTCAAAAAAAAAAAAAAAATAAAGAGCACTTCCACTCATAATCAGGAAAAGACAGCTAAAATTCCTTGAACACTAAATGAAGAAGGTCATGGAAAACAAAACTGCTCTCTATCAATCATCTGAGAGACCCATTTCTGTATGTCTTCCATCCGTATGGCTGATGCTGACCAGAAAAGTGAGTCGCTGTGCCTTCTTGGGTTACCATTTTCCACTGGCATGAAGTGGAAAGATAATATTGAATTAATTGCTAGGTGTGTGCTAGGAAAGTTTGTTCGCCGTCGTTTGAGACAATTTTTCTCACCAGAAAATATATTACATAATTATTCGTCCAGGCTTTGAATATTGCTGTCACATCTGGTCTGGTACCTGTGCTACACATTTAGAGACCCTTGATAAAATCCAATGAAGAATCTGCAATGTTATCGGTTCTGAACTAGCATATCGTCTTCAATCAGTCTTGTACATATCATCTCTCTATCTTTTCTATAAATACTTTCACGATAATTTCTCTGATGGACTAGGAAAAATTAAATATAATGTTTTCTTAATTCTTATTTTATTATTCTCTATCTTTATAGTAGTTTTCTTTTTTTCACATATTCCCTTGCGTCTTAGTAGCTTTATTGCCTTTCTTGGTGGTGAAATGATAAAAAATACATATAGGGACGAAAAGACGAATGTTCTCGGCAAACGAATAACCGGCCATTAGATAGATAGATAGATAGATAGATAGATAGATAGATAGATAGATAGATAGATAGATAGATATGAATAGGCAAACAGATACATACATAGATACATGCATAGAACGATAGATGGTTATGAACGTGCAGATAGATAGATAGATAGATAGATAGATAGATAGATAGATAGATAGATAGATACGAACATACAACCAGATAGATCGATAAATCGATAGATATGAACAGAATAAAATAGATAGATAGATAGATAGATACGAACATACAACCAGATAGATCGATAAATCGATAGATATGAACAGAATAAAATAGATAGATAGATAGATAGATAGATACGAACATACAACCAGATAGATCGATAAATCGATAGATATGAACAGAATAAAATAGATAGATAGATAGATAGATACGAACATACAACCAGATAGATCGATAAATCGATAGATATGAACAGAATAAAATAGATAGATAGATAGATATGAACAGGCAAACAGATACATACATAGATACATGCATAGAACGATAGATGGTGATGAACATGCAGATAGATAGATAGATAGATAGATAGATAGATACGAACATACAACCAGATAGATCGATAAATCGATAGATATGAACAGAATAACATAGAGAGATAGATATATGGATAGATAAAGAGAGAGAGAGAATAAAGATACTTAGATAATGAGAAGATAGATAGATAGATACTCCGTGTTCGACGTAATTTGTTTTATAGCTATTTTTACCTCTGTGTGTGCACCTTGCGATGTTTGTCCTCTTCCTGCAAACCAATCGATTTTGTCACCAGTGGGCTTCCATACAAATCTAAGCGCACTTTGATACCATTATTTGTCAGACACTACCGGTGTTGTGGTTTTTCACTTTGCACGCGCAAAGTATAGCAAACCATCCGGAAAGACATTTGCGTGCCTGTGATGCTAGCTACAGGCAATTTAACTTGTTTCATGTTGTTATCTTCCTCTAGTTTGACTAGGCTTTTTCTGAACAGGCTCTGAAGGACAAAATCTGTTTCAATAGAAGTTTTATATATATATATATATATATATATATATATAT